ACATAATCCTTGGGCAAGCCAACACTCGCCTGGATGATGTCTCCCACATGTATCGCACAATGGGTGTTTCCACCCTCTTGATTTGTTTTCTGACGCCACAGAGTGCGTCTGCACCGATTTCCCCTTCTTTGAGAAGTGTGAATTGCTAGATTCCTGGAAGGGCCTTTTTCCTTTTGAGACAGAGCTGATGGGACGGTGAGTGCTTGAACTGACATTATTTGTCTTCAGATACTCAATGCAAGCACTCAAGTCGTTGTCTGCCCTGGCTATGAGATCATAGGCCTCCGCGAAATCCACGGTGGTTAGGACGGACACACGCGACCTAAGGTCAGGTCGAAGTTTCTTCCTGAATTCCTCGATGCGATCGGTTGGGGTACTCACCAAGGTTGGTGCAAACTTAGCAAGACTAGTAAACTTCTGACGATACTCGGGGAGTGTCATGTCTCCCTGTTGCAATTCGACAAATTCTTTACGTCTTTCTTCGCTAAAACGTTTTGGAATATATTCTTGCTTGAATGCCCATTCGAAATGTGCCCATGTCCATGGCTTAGGGGTTCCTACACTCTCATCGGTCCTCTTCCACCACTCGTAGGCTTCTTTGCGAAGCAGCTGAGATGCCAGTCGGGGATAGTTGCCAATGGGTACATTAAGATCCTCCAACACTCGAGCAGTCTGCTCGATCCAGTCCCACGCAATCTGGGGTTCACCGATGCGATCCCCAAAGAATAATTCTGCACCGTTATCTCTTAGCGTTTTGTAGGTTACCACTCGAGGTGGCGGTGGTGGAGGTGGTTGAAACATTGGTGCGTTGGCTATTTGTTGCAACACATTAGCTAGAAAAGCTGGAATCACAAGGTCGGGTTGACCACCAGCGTTTGGGTTATTCCCAACATTTTGTTGATTGACGGGTTCATTTTGGACGGGAGGGGTAAAACTAGATGCTTCAGTATGAACGCTGACGTGTTCATTGTTGCCTTGTCCGTGGGCGGATTCTTGACTCATTCTACAATAACAGAAATTCCTTTATTAGGATTCTTTTATTCAGTAAGTGAGTTTAAGACAGGAATTGCAAAGGGTTACAACAGTTGATACAATCAATGCATTTGAAACTAACAATAAGATAATTTTCTAAGCGTTTGCGTTCGATTGGTTGGATCGTGCCGAATCTACAGACGGGTCTTCCTTGCCCGACCCACATACACTACTGGCAGAGTCTACGCTGAACGTCTCTTCTGGGTCATCTCGTTCCCATGCAGCCTTGCGGCGTAGATAAATTCTTCGTTTCATTATTCTTGCGAATCGATGTGCACGTTGGTAACGTATCAACGAGTCATAGACATTTCGTTTGTTCTTTCGTCTTTTACCAAGTACGAAAGTGCGACTTGAATCAACACTTGATATCATTTCCGAATTAACCGTTGACATCTATAAAATTTGATACAGTCAATTTCAATACTCATTTTTTTTATTACCTTCTTGGAGTAGAGGGATGCGAGAGTCGTGGATTTGATTGACATCATTTTTTGTGTGGCCGAGATACATATATAATATGTAAAATATATTTTTTTTATCCACGTTTTGATTCGAAGATCGGGTTTAAAACCATTTGCTCCGATACCAAATTGTAACACCCTAATCCGTCCAGGTCTGCAGCCCCTTTCGGACTAAAGTATTGATTTGGTAATCGTGACAATTTAAAACATTTCAAACATTTTTATTTATAAATAATATTCCATACATAATTGTAGAAAATGCGGAGTGTTTAATAATAATGCGGAAGCGACTTTTAAACATGTTTCATAACAACATAATTATTTATTTTGTTCAATGATCCACCACGACTGTCTCGCCCCTTCTGCTGCCAAGAACATGCCATTCACTCATTCAGTCTACCTGCGTGTAGCAAATAAAACATACTACACGCTCAGCGATGAAGCTGAGTAAGCATATCTAAAGCGTCGAACATCCAAATAAATTGAATCTCAATTCATAATCAACCATTTGATATCATGCACACAATATATGATTCAACATTCATGATATTCTCAATATTTTATTCCAAGTCATTTGATATTCAATATCTCAACCATGCTCTTAAATTATTCTTAATCTAAGGCCAAATTATTTTATAACAAGTTCTTAACTATTCCTAGTCTAAGGCAATACTTCTAACCAGGCCCTTAAACTATAAATAGTTTAATGCAGAACACAAGAATCGATAATCCACCCTATGAGTCATGTGGATTACGTACCAACCGAACAATGATTTGTCGGGTGGGTGATATCCGGTCTGGATCCCGTACGTACGTTTTAACCCGAAATATGAATTGGTCAAGTATATATATCTTAGAGTTCTTCTAGATATCCTTAATAATCATCATCAATATACAAGTGAGTATATCTTAGAGTTCTTCTAGATATCCTTAACAATATACACTGTTTTCATAATCACCATTAATTCATTTTTAATCATGATTTAATCATCAATAATCATTTTAATCAGTAGGTTTATCATTCATAATTATCCATAATAATTATTCATCATAATGATCATTCAACATAATAATTAATAGCAAACAGCGGCCTAGTCTCGAGTGTTAACACTCGAACTTACCGTCATGCATGTTTATATGTCACAAACATCATTTTTATTGTACACAATCATATTTATATTGTGCATAATTAATTGGTATCAAAAATAGGATTTTAGAGCATATTTTCAGGATCTGGACTTTAGGAAAATCGATTATTTCATTTAAAATGACCAATTAAATTATAAAAATCGATTTATATAATTAAAATAATCTATTAATTCATAAAAATCGATTTTTGCTTGAAAAATAATCCATTAA